GTTGAGGTGTGCATGTACCATTGTCTGTTGATTCTGCCAAGGTGAGTTCATTGTTTGTTCGCTCTGTGGAAAAGTTATTGACACAGAACAATCAGGAAAGTTCTCAAACCATTTTTATAGAGGTTAAAGAAAAAGCGAGTGAAGGGGGTTTCAAATAAAGGACTGTTAAAGGAAATTGAGCCATGATGAAAGCAGAAAAAAGATGTTATAAAGGCTCGGAGTTGAAAAATGAAGAATTAGCATTATCTAGAGAGGACAATTGGGATAATTGACCACTGGAGTTTAAGAGAAGGTGTGCTAATCTGTTTGTTGTGTATATTAGGATTCTAGAAAGTTCAGGGAAACAGTTCTGACCTGCAGAATGTTATCAACATCTTCCACTGCTTTTCCCTAGGAATGTCTTCCTCTCTTCACATGAATGGAAGTGGTGTGAGGGTTCTGGTTGAGGGAAGTAACACAAATGAAAACATTTGAAAATCAGAAAAACCTGTGTCCCTGTCATAGCTGAGGGATGCTGCCTGTCTGGCCAGGCAACATTTTCAGTTTATGTACTAGTGGGGCCTTCAAGTAGAAAGGCAAATTGTTCCAGCATATCACACTCCTTCAAAACATAAATAGTAGATTAGTCAAAGTTGATTTCAACAAATTATACCTACTGCCAACCTCAGAGATATGGTTAATTGGGTTTGACCAGATGTCACATGTCTCTCTCTACAAGGCTAAGGTCCCTGGGGGTGTCCTTCCGGTCCTAGTGCTTTTCCTTAAAGATGTTAAAATAGATTTTCTTATCAATTGCTTTCTTTTTTCTACTTTCCTATTGCAATTCTCACATGCTCTGAGGCATTATGCTATTCTCCTATTCTCCTATTCTCCTATTCTATTCTATTCTATTCTATTCTATTCTATTCTATTCTATTCTATTCTATTCCATTCCATTCCATTCCATTCTATTCTATTTCATGTCAGGGCCTTTTGCACATCTGCCACAGACATCCACCACCCCCATCCACCTCAGTGCCTTTCTCCTGGCAGTGGTCATCAGGACAATATCCTCTTTATTCTCGCTAAATTGGTTGGAAATAAGTAACAAAATTTCTTACAGGTCAACTATCCATCAGGTCCTTGATTATCTGAGATTATCTGAGGACAGGTTTTCAGGGGCCTCCAGGATCTAAATAGCCTATCTCTGAATCTTTAAAGGGATGAGTAATTTCTGTATGATGTGCTGCAATAATATTTAGAAACATCCATCTATAGAAACTTCCAGATGGGAAGATTAGGTAGAATAGAGTGCATCTGAGGAAGCCTGGAAAATTGTATACGAAAAGAGTGGAAAAGCAGGACATGTTACACTGACATGTTATACATGTTATACAGGAAAGTGTCCACGACTGCAAAGAGCCCTTTTTCCCCTCCTTTTTAAAACTGCTATTGCTCAATAGTCTGCAAAGGAATTTCTAGGAGTGGTGCTGGGATGGCAGGGAAAGAATAGTAAGAGAGAGATGCATAAACAGGCTTTTCTCATTCTCTTAATTGAATGTGTGTGGAACACAACTCTCCTCTGCATGCTTGCTGTAGTTCTTACAGCTCTGAGAGCTCTTTCTAGATAAATCGAAGACCTATTCAACACAAAGACAATGAGCACTAAATGGAATAGACACTTAGGATGGGGAGACAGGAAAGCAGGATCCCTTCTAGCTTGAGGAATACTGCACATGTCCCAGATAAATCTCCTGACAAGGAAATTTGCTGATCAAAAATTCATTACCACAAAATTAGACTTTCCCTTTTGGGTTCACCAAAGCTCAAGCTTTTGAAGCTGTGGAATAAAGAGCTAAATGCAGGTCAGTAGAGTCTTGGCTCCAGCTCTCACCAGGGAGTGAGAGCTCCCAGCAGTTCCCACACACTATGTCTGTGCTCCTTGGACTGCCTGTGCTTGCTGAGCAGTGCAGGCATCGCTCTGAGCTGTTTGCATAGCCCAGGTTATGCTAGAAAGGGATGTGGTTCCAAGCTTCTCTCTCACACCATCCTATGCCTCGTGCCAAAGGACAGAGGTGTTTGTGTGAGCACTGGGATACATCTGCCATGCCTCCTGAACCTGGGGTGTGTGTCTGCTGTGTCTTCTGCCAGCAGCCCCCTCCGAACAGTGACAGCTGTGACAAATGCCAGTGTCTGTTAGCAGACAAGTCTGGGGTTTAGAGACACGTGAGTTTCAGAAGGTACCTCAGGAACTAGGGGAAGTTTGGAAAATTTACCAGGATGATGATGTTTTCATGGATTAGAGTAAGAAAGAGTATGTTTGGTGCAGGTACCTCTTCTAGTTAGTGCAAGAAGCACAAGCAGAGCGATACAACCTGGTCCCTGTCTGTCCCTTACAGCACAGAATACACCAGTTGTGCTGCAGCCTGAAGGGCAATGTCTGTGGGGATGATGTTGTTCCCCTTTGCCTTGAGAGGGGCCTGCACTGCTGTCAGCATTACTAAGTCGTGTTGCTGCTACCAAGATCTCCTCTGAGGACATCCCTACTACAGCTTTGTGCCATAATCTAGGAAAGGAAGAAGCTGGCTGTGGCCATTTAATTAGGCAGGGGTGGATTGCATTTAAGGGATGATCAGTCACTCACTGCTATAGTTCTCTGCCAGATCTCTGCAAAGGTAGGTCTCTCTGCTTAAAACTGAGTGATTTTTGGCCCTCTAATATCATATTCACTCTGATTTGAGACAATTCCAAACACTGTAGCATTTCTTTGACTCTGACCTTTCCAATAAGAGAAATGACTCCTTATGCCACCTTTCAAATCCAGCTCCTAAAGTAATTACACATGAGGAGTGGTCTGTGCAGGAGTGTGTTTGAAAAGAAAATGAGATTAAAGTTTCCATCCTAGAAGAGTACCAGTATATCAATATCCAAATCAAATAACATAAAGTTTCCTTTGTCTGTCAGCTAGGAACAAGAATGCATTATACCTCTAATATGATTTTTGCAGTGTCTCTAATATCATGAGGTTTAATTAAAATAAATATGACTGTATGCTTTTGAAGAGCTAATCAAGCTGAAAAATTCTAGCCTAACTGGTGTAGCACATGAAAATAAATATGTATTTTTCTAGGCTGCCTGGTTTTGTGCATAACTATTGTGCAGGATGGATGATGGGAAGACAATAATTGGATGAAACACTTGGGCTGTTCCTGAGTGGGCTTAGTAAAAGTCAGCAACAGGAAAATGATTTGAGTGTAGTCTGGATGACAGCACTATGGTTCTGCTAATTAATTAGCTCAAGTTTATTAGTCTTATTGGTCTTATTGGTCTTATTGACCTTTAATCAACTCTGCCCCATACGATTTTGTTTTTTTAGGAGATATTTCATTGTCTGGGTTATTCTAGTTCCAGTAGACTGGCACCACAAAACTAATCATTTTAATGACAAAACTTCATTCACTTGTCTACCAGGACCTTTACTATATTTGTGTTTGCTTGTTTTTCTTTAAAGTCCTTTTTTTGTTTGTTTGTTTTCCCCCTAACCAAACTTTACCTCAGGAAATCTTTTCTTCTTGACTCACTAACCTCTGATTGCAAGTTATGTGCAATGGTTGCATTGAAAAGAAAAGCAGTAGCTTTAGCACAGCAGAATAGACCTGTCCCAATTTGAAACTCTTGACAAACCAGCAGTCCCTAAGACTTTCTGACCTGGACTTTTATCTTACCACAGCCTGTGGACTTAAAACAATTCTACAGATGTCCAAATTCTCAGAAGTACCTTCTGAAAAACTATGCTTTCTAAAAAGCATGTGCCTTCTGGCTTTCTTTATGTGTCTCTCTGAAGGACTGGTTCTGCTACACCTTTTTTAAGCACACCTTATTGGGAGAGTTCCAAAATAACATTTGCTGAAGGACTATGTTTCAAAAGCTCAGATTCCTACAGGACTGAATGCTATAAAGGGATAAAACCAGCTCTGAGTAGGTTTTGCTACAAGTTGTTGCTCTGAGGCTATGAAAGTAGAATTAGCAGGGGGTTCTGATTAACAGCCAAGACACAACTTTAAAGTACCTAATGCTGGTGCCCAATTGTTCATTAAAAACTCACACAGCCATTACAGGCTCCTCTGGAAGGTATTCACTGTAGAACATGTTGTTGCCTCCAATGTGGGTTTGTACAGTTAAGCAAGTCACACTGTTTTCCTGTCAGTAAAAGAGGGATTATTCAACAAACAGTGGACTTGGAGCAAAAATTTGCCTCACTGTAAAGCAGGCACATTTCTTTTTTAATGGTGTCCTAAATTCCATAAGCTTGACTGTAACCAAACCAAAATACATACACTGGAGGCACCTAAAAGTTAGGGAGGATAAATCCCACCTGAGTTTATGTGATACATCACACAGATGAGGCTGTTGGCTGAATTTGATGTGGAGAAGCTTAGCGTTTTGGTTCTTGAGTTCCTCAGATTTATCCCAGTTTTATGGACCAAACTGGCCATAAACATGTGTCAAGGGCTTGAAGGATTACACAGGCATCTTGGAAAAATGGTTATTTTTTTATGCTTCAGTATTTTAACTTAAGACCCCTCTGCACTTCCAGTTTCTATGTTCAAGATCTGCTCCCATGTAGTAACTTCTGGGAGCACCAGAGATAACAAAAAACCCTCCCTATTAGGAACACTCCCTCTTCTGAAAGATGCCCATTGCAGATAAAAGATGAAATTTCCCAGGTGAACACCCACAGTCCTCATGGTGCTGGGTAGCAGACCTCTCTAGGAGGTCTGTCACAGGATCAGCTATTCTCATTTTGAAATTCAGCCTGCCTACTGTTTAACTTTTGTTTTCTTTAAATATCGTGTTTGGGAACCTGGAACTCACAATAACAGTCTGCTCCACTACCATCAATTATTGAGAATGCTATGTTTAATTACAAGTGCTACCTAGATAATCCTCAAATAAAATCACAGGAGAAAAAGTAATCTCCCTGCAGATATCACACCAGGAATCTGTCTTGTTTTGTGCAGGTGATTCCAGTCTTTGCTCAGCCTGTGTTCATGAAAACAACGTTTACAGCAGAATATTTCAGATTTTGTACAGAAATGAAGAGATCATTCTTAATGAATCAATGAACTTCAGAGTGCACCTGCTTCTGGATGGTGAAAGGGTGAGTTGTTTTGGGATGCACACGAAAACCAGGAGGGCTGGAATTCCTCTTGCCTAACTTTAGGTGTGCATTGCACAGGTAACTCCGTTTAAGAAGTTATCATGATGTCCATGTGCTGTCAGAGGTCTCAGCACTGTAGCTGGTGGAGGTAAAGGCACAATTTACCTTACCAGTATACCAGCAGCTGCACTAGGAGGAGATTGACTGTCCTGTACCCACCAATACCTATGTTGATGAGGGTGCCTGTTGTGATTTGTGTATTTGTAAATGCTAACACTATAAACCCCCTGCATGAGGTTGGACAGACCCTCTGCATTGTGCCTGTTATGAACAGTAGGCTACACCTTGGCTTTCCAGTGGAATAAGGTGTTGACATACTCTGGTAAATTAGTATATCAGAAACTCAAGTGTCTCAAGCAAAATTTGCTTATTTTTGCACTAGATCACTCACTTTACATAGCTGTGTGTAAAGTCAACCACACCTGAGAGAACTGGGAATTTGCTTCATCTTGCCAGGACTAGCTTCCTCTTCCATTATCACTATTGTCTCCTCTTTCTTGTCACTAGTTTTTGCTACAGCTGCCCAGTCCCTTTCCACCACTCAGAGGTCTCCTGACCTTTCTCCTTAGTGCTCTTGATTGCAGGAGTGTGTGGAAGTGCTGCTGAGCTTACAATTCCTTATAATCCATTTACAACCTCTTTGCTTTCTGCTGTATTTCAGCTAGAATAGGTCCATACTGAGATCCTTCTCCCCATTTTCCACCTACTCCTTCAGCCAACAGGAGCATCCACACAAGGGATGTACATGATCTGAGCCACCCAACTTGTAGAGAACCTATGTCTTGCTCTTACTGATATGAAAACAATGTCTTTCAGTGGCTCCTTGCCAGGAGCTACAAGAGAGGAGCAATCTTTGTTAATGGAGAATAATGTTTAACTGGAGTCTTAAATAGCAAGGGGAGAAATTTCATAGTAGAATGGCAGTCAGTCTGTCCTAAAGTGTCACAGCTGTGCTTTGCCAACCCAAGGACTGGTACAAAATGCATGGCATTTATAATTGCTCTAAGTGATGATGATGAGAGACACATCAGCATCTTTGCAAAGTCAGCATATCATCAAAAATAGGTGTTATAAGTTACACAGCCAGTGTGAATCATGTGCTGTGTGTTGAAGTTGAGGCCAGGGACACTCACCTGTCCTTCCTTGTATAACTTTCTATTTGATCATGAAGAGATTTTATATTTCTCTTTTGTCCTATTTCAACCCATATATATGTGTTATATATAGATCAAAATTAAAACAGCTTGAGAACCTAATTTAAGCTTAACATGCTTCCTTTTCTCTCCCACTTTCTTTTTGCAGTTTTGGTTTGGTTTGATTATTTTATTTTTCTTAAGATAGTGTCTTCAGTTTATTCCTCCCTGGAATTGTTAGCTTGTGCTTGTATGAAAAATTACTAAATGCAAATTTATCAATATTTGTTAGGAAAATGTCCCAACATGCTTAATCAAAGATTAATTTTATCCTTCCTGTGTGGAACATCTCTGATTAAACACCCCTCCCCTCAAATAATAGCAGTTTCCATTGTGCTGAGCACGAATGATTTCTGATGATTTTTGCAGTACGACTCAGGGAACTTTTGCACTTCACAAAGTGTAAAATAAATAAAAGCCCACAAGACTCCTCACAGCTAAAACTCATTCTGACTCTCGATGTGCTTTGTGCAGACACTTGGCTCTCCATAGGAGACTCCTTGGGAAGAGGCCCAATTCTGGACTTACAGAATGGTTTTGCACAGAGAAACCCCATTTTTCTGCATTATGAAGTTGCTTTGGGTTTTCACTGATGTAGACTAAGAGGATAAATGGGTCTGTTGTCCCAGATGAGTTGCTGAAGACACTCTAAAGAATCAAGTACAAAAAAATAGAGGTCTCTAAAAATTTTTGTGTATTGAGTAGATTAGCACAATTTACCTCTGTTTAATGCTCCCAAACCTCTTTTTTTTCTCAGCTTTGTTGTCTTGTCCTACACAACTTTACAAATTTGATATAAATGTGGGAAAGGCAGAAGTGTGCTACTCCACTGGGCACCATGCTCAGAAGAAGACAAATATATCCACAACTATTCAGAGACAGCTTTACACCTTTGTCACATAATATCCTGTGTTGGCTGAAATCCTTGCAATCTGGTGTTGGCAAGACACCCAGAGATTTTTAAAGTGTTTTAAATATTATCTCTGTTCATAATTCTCAATTAATTTAAAACACAACAGATGTGAATCCTTTTTTTTTTTTGGGCCAGTTGTGTGCTACGGTGAGTTTTCTTGGTTGAGAGTGAAGGTTCTGTTGAATGTTTTTAGTGTGAGTGGAAGTTATGATAAATAGACAAGGGAGTTAGTCTGGGTAATGGGAACATCGAGTTCATATGGTCCATGTAGTTTCTACTGTCATAGCTGGAATTATCCAATATTGTAATAAGGGAGCAATGTGCTTTCTCCTCTTGGTGCTTGGGTAGTTTTGCTGATGAGACAGTTTGCTGAGATAGGCTCAGACAAAACATCCCCAAACACAAAAAAAACCAATGTGGATGTCCAGATTAGATTTGCTACTGGGTTTTTAAAATTCTCCCCCCACCCCACCCCACCCCGCTGCCTCTAGCATAACCCTAGATAAGCTTAAATACATCTTTTTTTAGTCTGGCAATGAATGGAAGAAATCTCAATTATCTGCCAAGAAGTGGCATCGAACATACCTTTCACTTTAAAAATGGTGCTTTAAAAGTCTCCAGTTTTTTTAGATGCCCTTTCTATATTATCCCAGCATACAGCAGCTTTTTGAATTCACAAGAAACAATATTGCTGAGGCAGCCTTTATTGTTACAAAGAAGTCTAATTTATTTTCATCAGCTCTTGTTTTCATTCTTATTAGAGAAGAGTCTTTACCTCTTTCATCAAGCAATGAAACAGGTACCTTGTCAGGCTCCTTGCTTGCTGGCCCTGTTCAGGGACAATTTAGTAGCAGGGAGAGGACAGAGTGAGGCAATCTGGGACATCACAGTGTATTAGATTTGTAATTTCCAGTGAAACTTAAGTGAGCTGGGACATCCAGATCATTCAATCTGACACTCTGGCTAAATGTTTCCATATCAGGGAGGTATTTCACAAGAATGCAGGAAGCTTCAGTAATAAGTATTATCACAGCTCTTAAAAGCTAAGCCCAAGATGAAAATGGAAACCTGAAAAAACAGAACGCAAAACTGAAATGATGCACTTTGTTCCAGGCCAGTTCAACAGAAATTGGAGTACTTTGCTTTGTATATACTTTTTATTGTATAAAATAATTTTACTTTTCATATGAAAATACTTTCTATTGTACAGATTCTGAGCAATGTTTAATAAAATGCATTTCCCTGAGAGTACAGTCCTTTGGCAAGGGAGGCAGAGGTTAGCAAACAGTCTGAACTGTTGGCAGCACCTTCTGGAAAATTATGTGTGCTCAGATGAATATAGGGTATTTCTGCACAAGCTGTGAGGCCCAAGGTGGGAATTTGCATATATGGAATATTACAGAACAGAAAAATATTCATTTAATATGAATGTATTCTTACAAACAACTTTTGGGTTGGAAAGGACCTGAAAGACCATCCAGTTCTGACCAGGGACACCTTCCACTAGACCAGGTTACTCAGGGCCCCATACAACGTGGCCTTGAACAGCTCCAGGGATGGATCTTTGTTTTCTCTTTCAAAAGTTGTGATTTTAATCATTAACACAACTGAAAGGTCAAAAAACTATATGAAAAAACACTTGAAGATCCTTCACAGAGTATCTGGGAGGACACTGCTTAGCCTAACTAGTCAAACACTAATTATATTCCAGATAAATTTTTCAGGCTAATTTCTTAAGGAGTGTGGTGTGAAAATTCAAAATTTTTTTTTCAGGAGAAAATCCAAAATAGATAGTCTATCAAACTTTTGGCAAATTGTAATCTGTAAAGGATAACTGTGGACAAAACCACAATAGTCTAATTAGTGTTAAAACAAGAAACCAATATTTCATTTAAGGACAATATTATTTCATACAGAAGACCAAGGAGTGATAGAAATTTCACTTCCCCTTCTGTATGAGCTATGGAAAGGCCATTTTGTTGGTTTCCTGTGTGAAGGATCTTATGCACCTGTGTCTCTAATAAGCAAAAATAAGGAAACCTGAGGGAAGTCCAGCAAATATCAAAGCCATATAGTAACATGTCACATGATTAGTGTGAGTTATTAGTTAGTTCTGTTGTGTGACTTGTGCAAAAGTCTTTTAATGATATTTTCTCATGAAGAGACCAGTTTTTGATCAGCTGTACAATTTTCACTTAATGTTTACATACCAGTATAAAAAGGACAACATGTTATCTCTGTAGTGAGAACTGTGATTGATTGATTTTATGTGGAGTTTTGCAGTACTGTGAGCAGTCTGAGTTCAGTACAGTTTTGAGATTAAAAATATACTATGCATGCACCTCACTGCATGACCCCATGCAGTGACGAGTATCTCTCAGTCTCTCAGACATCTGCTCATTGCCTCAAGGTGTTTTGACTGAGTGTCACCAGCTATTGAACTTGTTTTGAACACAGGCTTAGATCTCAGTGACAGTTGCAGGTGCTCAGCAGAGTCTGTGCTCAGGCACAGACTCAAAATTTCATCCCCTTTATTGGAGGAGGAGGTTTGCTTTGTCTGAAGCACTACACTGAATTCCTAGTTTCAATTCAGACTGTAGCTTCAGTAATGATTATTTTCTTGGCAACTGCCAGCAACTGTGATTTTTAGTGACAACAAATCATTAAAAGGAGAAAGTATTTTTTTATTTACTTTTCTTTTCTTTTCTTTTTTTCCAATGAAAGGCACACTTCCAGGTGTTTTGAGACAATCACAAAAGAGAAAGATTTTCAGTAAATAGAAGTGGGAATTGTCTCCTCATATCTCCATGCCTGTGGCCATGCCGGAAGAAATACCACATTACATCAGAAGGGATTATAATTTACATCTTCAATAATTTTGTCAAAGCACAGTCAATCCCTGACTCTCAATTTTCTTTTTTCAGCAGGAAAAGGCACACTGTAGATGCAGTTTCGCCTTTTGAAAGCCCAGCTAAACTTAGTCCATGTTATATATTTTATGGATCCTACCTGTCAGGGCAGGCTAGATGCCTCTGATGGTGCCTTCAGTGTATTTTTAGTATGGTCTGTTGTTAAGAAGGTGATGATCAGCTTTGGAAAGTAGAATTAATCTTGCCTATTTTAAAACATCTGACATGCAAGTGTTTGTAGACCATCATATTTCTCCAGGCTCTGTCTACTGTCAGTGGAAAGCTACAGGCACAAACAGAAATCAATTGTCCTTCTCCAACCTAAGGATGGAGCAGCTCACTTGTTGCTTGCTGCTTTCCAGTGACAGAAGACAAACCAAACATCTCATCTCACCTTTCTGTGGCAAAAATTGGGTAAAAATAAGTTGTATTTATAATACCATATCTCCAGTCAATAACTTCACTTTCCACCTGCATTCCTGTGGTTCTCCTACTGTATTCTGGCATACAAGAAAGGATGCTTAAATTCACAGGGAAAGAATATTTTGGTTATAGAATGTGTATTTTTTTTTGTTCATAGTTCCATTTTGGTTGATAGAAATTATATTTTTTTTATTCTACTAAACTTACTTTTCTTGGGGAAAAAAGACATTTCTAAGGAGGGAAGGAGAAAGTGCTGGTCAGCTTAATCCTTCTTCCATTCTAATTTATTTATTCCCATTGATTAGAGTTGTTTTAACTGTGCCAAGTTGGGATGTGTTATCCAATGAGGCTCTTTACAGATGAAGGTAATGAACTGGCAGCTCCAGTACTGTTTCCAAAAATCCAATTAAACTATTTTATTGACAATAAAATAAAGGTAATTTTACTGGTGGGACCTATTAGATGAGTTAGATGAATGTACCAGTGAGTATCTTGTACCATGGTACTATGTTATCGTCAGTGGTTTTGTTAAGCAGAATCCTATCATGTATAGCCCTGCCACAAAGGGAACAGTTAAACTTCTGTTGATTGAAGCTTTAAAAACAACAAAAGCCTTTGAATTTTGGAAAGAAAAAGGTCTAGATGAGGATCAGTGGAAAACTTCCTCCATGAATTTGTGAAGAGCAAGAGAGAGTCACCAGGAGGCAGAAAAGCCTCAGTTTGTTGAGACACACAGTAAAAGGCTAATTATGGGAGATCAGAAGTTGCCAGAATTATCTGAGACATTTATGATTGTTTTAAGCTGTAAGCTTTGACCCTTGAATTAGTTACAGGTAGGTAACCAGAAGGATTTGTGGCTACTTCTCATCCAAGAAAACCCAGTCCTTGCTGTCGTTCAGCTGACAAGACAACTCAAAGGAAGACTCACTCAATGAGGGAGAGCAGCCTTAGAAATGACTCTTGGTGTGCAAGGAGCAGGATCCAACAAATTCAGAACTCTGTGCACTCTAGTTACTCTTGTCTAGAGTGATTTGCTTGGGCAAATCACATGACAGGGCACCCAGGAGCAGATAACTGGTTGACTGCTCTGGTTCCCTCTGACTCCTCCAGCAATTACCTCAACTCACTGTCACATTTGCTTCTTTCTTCCTCTGTGCTGGGGTGCTGCTGTTGCTGCATATTTTTGCCTTTGCTCTTATCAGATAAACCCATCCACCTTTGCCTTCTATGTTGAAGGTGCCAATTTATAAAGGTAACCTTCTATTTCTCTTTTTGTAGGTGGAAGATGCTTTGAATGAAGCAGATTTTCAGCTCAAGCTGGACCTGCACTTTACTGATAGTGAACAACAGTAAGTGCTGTTTTGAAGCTCAGTTTGTAATGAGGGGGGCTCTGTTCAGTTGGGAAATTACTTTGATAAAATGAGAGTTCTTTGTAAAATGGGATACCTTTGATAAGTCTTCCCTTTGCCTCAGTGTTGAAGTTTGTCTGTTTCTTCTCTCTACTTTGAAAGTTGTATCTCATACTCCTCTTTAAAGGAACAATGTTTTTTCTCCTTTAAGTGTAAGATTTTTCGAAGTCTTTTAAGTGTTGCTCTGTGTCTGCTGCTGTTAAAGGGGATATCATCATTGACCTCCAGGTGGGTAGGGGCTGTGGTTCAGGAATGCGTTTATCTCAGGAGGCAGTGAACTATTTCCTGGCTGAAGACAGGATTATGAACATGCTAAGCACTTTTCTCCTATTAAGAACCAAAGCTGCCTCAATATTTTCAAGAGGAAGGAGTCTTCCCATTGAATTTGATTTCATCTAACTGCATTTGATACCAAAATCTAAGTGAATTGGGAGTAGCATCCCTTCCTGAGACACTGCAGGAAGTGTGACCCCAGATATTATTCAGCCTCAATGAATCAGGAAAAAGCCTGCCAATGACTTAAGCAGGGTTTGTAGGGGGTGGGAGTGTAGAGAAATCATCTGACCTGTTTTTCATGCTGAGACTGTCTCCATGTGATTTTATTCATACCCACAGAGAACTTAAACAAATTTCAGGAACATGTTTCTGTTATCTTCAAGATACAAAAAGTGAGAACTTTTTCTCTCACACAGGTGGGATTGGACCTTCACTGCTGATGGGTCTTGAAGAGAGAAAAAACAAACATTAAATGATAGCTAGGAAAAAAACACTAAAATATATGAAATTGTGCTCTAATACATGCATTTAATTTCTGTTATAATATCAAAGGTTATTCTGATATGCTATAAACAAATGCAGTGATTTTTAGAAAAAAATATTCTGCAAAGTTTATTGAAGCTTGGGACTGACCATGTACCATACACAGCCATCTCATCCTAGGTTTTTCTAGTTCTGGGAAACAAGTGGCTTCAGAAGAGTCTTTAATGCTGTAAAGTAATTCCTCTTTAGAAGTGTCACTTTCACTAGAAGGATGTGGTGAGGCACACTCCAAATTTACAGCTCAATCTCTTGCACCATATGGGACTGAGGTGTCATGTCGTTGCCTGCACACCAGGATAGTTATTCTGGAATTCTTATAACAAACTTTAAATTAAAGCCTTGACTTTCATTTTCTGGAAAAAAAAAAAAAAAGAAAAAAAAAAGAAAAAAAAAAAGGAAAACCTAATCCAACTCGTACTGTTTCTCTGCAGTTACTTCACCGACTCTTGGTTTTTGACCTCTTCCAAAAAATTTTTTCAGAATAACCATCTGGAAAGGTGCTCTGAATGTTTTCAGCTGTGTCTGACACAGGACTGCTTTTAACTCTCACAGATTGCCTGGACTGATTGTTCTTGCACAGAAATCATAAGTAGTAAGCTGTCCCTTCTATGAGCACCCAAATAATCTGAAGAGTTTGCTAAATGCATTTCCTTCTGCTACTTAGTTCATGATGTCCCCAGAACTAGTGCGTAGGTGGACATCAGAGGTAATCTTCAGGGAAAACCAGAATTGCATTGCACTTATTCTTTTCTTACACGGTACATTCATATAACTCTACGAATGTTATTTATAATTTTTATTTATTTTTATATTATAATATTTATATCTATATTAATGCATATATATCTGGATTAATATTTATATTTATACCTGGCACAAGTACAACACAAGATACTCTTCAGTTATCTTGCCCCTTATAAACCTGGGAAGTGATAAAATTTCACACCTCAAGCCATCTCTCAGTCTGCTGCCTGTAGCACGTTATAGGCTATGACAACTCAGGCCTTCACTAACCCTTGTTAAACCTCTTTCCCTTGCAGGCTGAGGGATGTTCCAGCTATCCCCATGATCAGCAGCCGAACACTGTGTCTCCACTTCCACCCCCGGCGAGGTCTGCACCACCATGTCCCCGTCATGTTTGACTATTTCCACCTGTCAGTGATCTCTGTCACAGTCCACGCGTCCCTGGTGGCACTACACCAGCCTCTGATCAGGTAAAGGGCACAGAAATGTCTGTGGAAAGGCAGAGGAGATTTCTCTGCTGAGTTCTCTCATACAGTTTGCTAATTGGATGGGAGAAGCAGAGAGGATAATTTATTTTAAATTTTTTTGGTTCTGGGCTAATGTAGATTGGGGTTTACAATCAAACTCTGACTCGGGACTCTTCCCTTAGTAAAGCACTAGGGGTTTGATGAAAAAGTAGTACAACTTTGGGAAAGAGATTAAAAATTTTGACTAGTCTTGATCTCTCTATTCCCCATTTTTAATGAGAAAAGTGAAAATTGTGTTTTCCTTGGCAGTTTTTCCTCTTAAGTCTTAAAGCAACTAAGAACATTTACATTTGTCCCCACTGTGATGTTTTGTAAATCATTCAGGACAGCCGGACTCTAATCTCATCCCTGGCCTCTGCACATGAGTGTAATCCATAATACGGTTAGGAGGAGGCACAGAGGAGTCAGTGCTGAACATGACTTCACTGGAAGAATCCTTTGCAGAATTATCTGGTTTGACTGTGCAGCAGTATAATACCAGCTGCCATGGGGTCTAGGTGTGATTTATGTTATTTGATTCATAATGACTAGAAAATAACTCAGAACTCCTTCAAGTAAAACAGGGCTGGAGGTCAATATCCTCTAATATTTAGAGTGAGCGAGGGGAAGCAAAGGCCTTTCTGACAATTTACTTAGTGCCCAAACTTGTCAGTGCGTGAGACAGAGAGTGCCAAGAGGGAGGAAACTCTTTTAGTCTCGAAGCAAAAGGCAGTGTTCAGCATCGTTCAGCTTCCCTTAACTCCAACATGATCTTGTTGTTTACCTAATGACCATAAGACTCTAAACCTTGTCAAATACTGTGCAGAGAACACAATGTCAGAGAGGAAAGATGAACCTGTAGAATGTTTTCCTCAGGTTTCATGTTTTGGCTTAGTACATCTTTGCTTCAGTTCTCCATTTGTGTGAAGGCACTGCTTGTACACAACGTCTCAGAATGAACTGAGAATGTAAGAGGTTGAGTCTGAGGTTGAGAAGTCAGTCTGACTCACCCCTGAAAGTGTTCAAGTCCAGATTGGATGGGGCTTTGAGCAACCTGATCTGGTGGAAGATGTCTCTGCCCATGGCCAGGAGGTTAAAACTAAATAATCTTTAAGATCCCTTTCAACTCAAGCCATTCTAAGATTCTATGAGCCGTGACAGTGATGTGTCTCATATTAGCAGATCAGACTGACATATCTGTCTTTTGCTGATGTAATACAGGTAACTGCTGTATCGCTGTTCTGCTATGTGTTGACTTTTTAAATGGTGAAATTAGATTGTAACAGACTACTTCTAACTAGATAATTTTACTCAGATAATTTACTTATTGTTCTGCTATAGAAAAGGATGAACGAACAATAGTTACCAGGCTTAATGACTGTTTTGAGTGCTGTGTTATCCTCTAGTGAATGGGGCTGCACAGGCTTGTTACTGTTATTACGTAAATCACATGATGAGCAATTGTTCCATAGTCAGATTATTATAGCTTTTGAAATACTATTTTGTGGACCTTTGTGAAGTATACAATGTATGTACTTAATGCAGTGGAATGAAGATTTTTGACAACACAATATAGAGACTCATTTGCGTAAGCCCATAAAATCATTTTGAAGTGTGACACTAAGGATTTATCTTTTTCTTGATAAATATTCCAAACCTGAAGGGTTTTTATATCATGCATTTTCTAAGTATAAATCAGGATGAATACAACAGTGTAAAATAAATAGCTGTTCCAAGCACTCTAAAACAAAACCAGCCAACTAAAACTTGTTTAATTTTCTCATAGCTCAGAGCTTTCCTGTTTATCACTTATCATTGGAGTTTAACCCTCAGATTTTTAATGGGGTCTAAACTCATGGCAGGGAAGGGACTGGATGTCTTTTACTTGTCCTTACTGAGCCAGAACTTGGTTAAAAACTCTCACTTTGACCTTTAGAGTTCTTTGACTCTTCTAGAAAGCACCCCAGAAGTGGCTGAGGAAGCTGGACCACTTGGAGTCAAGCCCAAAACTTTACTTTCCAGGCAGGAGGGCAGTAACAGAGGAGAATTGGGATGTAGGACTCAGTGGTTTTGATAGTTGTTGTCTTGGCCTGAAATACTTCTCCCTTCACCTGTGTCTTGCCCTTCACCCAGACCCTTCCAGCAGGACACTGTTGCTTTCCTTTAATGACAGCACCAAATGCACCAAATGCTTTTGGCAGCTGCTGTATTTCAGACTTTTGGGATATGGGACAAATAGAGGAGAATTTAGAGCAGGAAGTTGGATGGCACTGCTCCCCTAATATCACAGGAGTGACAGTTCTCTTTGGAAAGTTAAGGGCAACCCCATTTTTCCCAGGATGACAGAAGATGAGCCCAACAAGTGTGTTGAAAGATAAACAAAAAAGCTGAACAATGTTCGAGCTTGAGACTATTCCCCTGCTGATGCACTGGCCTTCATTAAATGCTTAAATACCTTTTTTATTCTCTTACCTAAGTTCCAGAGACTAAATGTGAGCAGACAGCTGCAGGGGGAAGGTGAGGAAGACGAGGACTTAAATCTTTTGGACTCTAGTTTTCTGGTTTGTGTGAATCAATTCGGTTTCTGGCCTGAGGCACTGACTTGTCCCTCATCTCCCTGTCACTGGCTTCACAACTGGTCCAATCTGTAAGTGCAACCAGCACTTATTAGCCCAGTTTCAGCTGTTAGGAAAGGTGCTTTGCTTCTGCAAGCTCAGACTTCAAGAAATATTTCTGTTTTTCTGGAAGGGAAATGTGCAGGTCTGTCGTGTAGAGGTCTGCTTAGTCTCAGGCATGCTGCAGGCACAGTGCCTTTCTTATATTGGACTTATTTAAAAAACAAACAATAAGAAATATGGTTCATTTATTCCACAGACCTCTGCACCAGTTCCCCCACACCCAAAAAAAAAAAAAAAAAAAAAAGCAAACACCTAAAACCCACCAAGGAGGTAAAAAAGAAAGGCAAGTCTTGAAATTGCTGCAGATAAGCAAGATTCTTCACCACGGGCAGCTGGCAAACCTGTTTTCTCTTGCTTGCACAAGAAAGGGGTTAATTTTCTCAGCTTTCTGGATTCTCCTCAGTTTTCTATTCCTTTCCCTCTTTCATACATAATTTTACGTGAAAAACAAAGTAGACTTTCAAGATTTTACTTGTTAACATTGAATCCTTAATTACTTACAATCAAATGATTGTATGAGAAACAAGAAATCTCAGTGGGATCTGAGATGGGAAAATAATATAATACAAATTTTGTTGGTGGAGAAACCAAGACACAGATAGTCAATATTTTAGTGTCTTTAGCTTGTTCTGCTCTGGAAAGAGGAATCAGAGTCAAGGGGACACAGAGTATTCCAAGATTTCAGCCCTGATCTAGTTCTGCTCAGCTCCACTGCGCTGAGGAATCAGGCCAACCCTGGCCATCCTTGAGCAATTTTATCTCACCTAAATTCTTTTATTTCCAGGCATCCTGTTCCTCAAAAGCACGACTGATCTATCTATAGGTGATACACACACTGTACTGCCCTGTGCACCTTGAGTCTGGGTGCAGATTATGCAGGTCAATTTTTCTGCAGTTGTAATTGTGGCTGGCACCTACTTATGGGGAGCTTACATCTGAAACTGCCCAAATGCAATGCTGGGGAGTAAAATTCATGACTTGTTTCCCCTTTCCATCCTATTTGCAAATAAATTAATCTGCAGAAAGAAAATGGAATATTTATGAAGTAAAGACCTATTGCTTCTACATTAGTTTATTAGAAGAATACTGATTGATATTATTTTCCTCTAAGCACTCCCTCATAACAACTGGATGACTTTTCCTTTGAATTTTCTTTTATTTGGTAGTTTGTTATGTATCTGCAAAGATAAACCTCCCCTTTGACATGCCAGTCTCCTGAGCTACCAGCTGAGAAGTCACATAAGAAGAACCTGGCAATTTCTAAGTAAAATGTAAAAAAAACTAAAATCAACAACACCAACAACAAAAAAGCCACTCAAAATTAAATATCCACAAATGCCTTTATCTGCTTTCAAATTTTATAGCAACTGGGGTTAAGTTCAGGACAAATGAACCAGCATTTTCCAGCAGTCAAAAACTGTAGAGATTTCAGATCAGATTGGGATTGACTCCGTTTGGGATCTAAGGAGAGATATCTATTTTCATTAAAAAATTTATTTTAATAAATCTTATCAGTGTTACCCAAAAAGCCCAGAACATTTTACAGGCATTGATTATAACCTTAGTGAAACTCCCTGGGTAAGAGAGATCCCCATGTCTAGAGGAGCACAATCTGTAAACATCCACAGATTATTCTCAAAAATAAATAACAAATCACCCATGTAGCCTATGGCCAACTGCCAGTAGTAATTTCCCAAAAGCTATATTAAAGTTTTGAGTTAAAAACATGGAGGGAAATCAGTGTTGTCATTACAATTTTCCTGATTTTTGGGACTTAGAAGGGAGCTCCTGGTGAAATGCAAACAGCTGGCAGTGGGGACTGTGAGGCTTTAATTCTGAGGTCTGCTATTTCTATAGGACTTATATTTTCAATTTTTTAAAACAGTAATATTTTATGAATAAGGGACTGAGGGAAAAATAAGTGGTTTCTCCAAGGATCTGGCCTAAATGGGATAAAACTTCATTTCCTGAACTTCCTCTCCTGGTATAGCCACAAGATTATCATTTCTTGTAATTAGAAATGTGATGATTGTGTGGGGTTTTGTTTGTTTGGGGGGTATTTTTTTACAGTTTGATACTTTCAAATAATGCAAGATATTTTTTTTTCCCAAGCAAGACACAGATCCCAATCTGATAATTTTCCCCCTAGTCTACTAAAAACTAAAATTAATGAGAAAAAAAAAAGTTTTTCTTACCAAAACAAATTAAGAATTCAAAAAGGTTATTTCTTTTTTGGGAGAAGTTTAATCTCAAAGAGAACATAATGTTGTTTTAAACTGCCCTGAAGGTTTTTTTCTGATTTGCTTCAGTAACACATCTGAATTAACATTTATCAAGGCCAATCCACTTCTTATCCTAGGGAGCTGTCATCTCATTTATATGTGAGAGAATTGTCCAAAGAAGATAAAATAAACTGGGAATGATTATTTAATATTTTGTGCTACACAAGAACCAAGAGGTGCCACATCCAATTCTCCAACAGTGAGTTCAAAAGAAGCAGAAAGTTCAGCACTTATTACAAGTACAGTTCATTCCAAAATGAATGTTAAGTTACAGAGGCCAAGAGTATAAATCAAAAAGGCATGGACACAAATTCATAGAAGGCAACCATGACTGCTGGAAATAATTGCTTGAGTACAACCTCTGACTCAGAAAGTTCTTACATTTTGACTGTGGGTATCTTGCAGGCTGTAACAAAGGGAAAAAATGGAGTTTTCAATGCACTTTGCTGCACTGAATGTCCATAGATGGCTGCTCTAATAACCAGGAGACACCTTTGAAGGATAAAGAAATTGAATCATAGAATCATGGAATGATTTGGGTTGGAGAGGACTTTAAGATCATCTTGTTCCAACTCTCCTGCCATGGGCAGGGACATCTTTCACTAGACCAGGTTGCTCAGAGCCCCATCCAACCTGGTCTTGAACACTTCCAGGGATGGGGCATCCACAGTTTCTCAGGACAAACTGTTACAGTGCCTCGCCAGCCATGATCTCACAGATAAGGTCATCAAAAGGCCAGCTCAAAAAAATAAAGCATAAAACATTTCACTGATCATATTAATAGTCCTGCACACATGTTAATCCTCTTGGACATGCACACATTACCTCTTTTGACCTTTTTTTTTATCCTGAGTCCAATTAAAAGCTAAGGTTAACATACTGGATAAGGATCTAAATGTTCATATTAAATCAATGCTATTAAATAGATAGTCCAAATGGACATGTAGGTAAACAAGGTTCATGATTCATACAAATAAATATGTTTGCAGAAATAATTAGAATAAATAAATTTACAAAAAAATGTAGCAAACTGACCCGGTATTGCTAATAAAAATTATCTTCAAGCACAATGTATTTCAGAAAACATTAGGGGGACCTCAGCAGTTTGTAAGCCTTCCACTTAAACTTCCCTCAGCATACTGAGGACATTTTGGCATGTTTCCCAAAAAAGGTTTTTGTTTTACAGTGCTATGTAAAATCAATTTCCATAAAACCAACAGATTAAAACCCCTTCTCTGCTGTAAAAGCAAAAGATAAATAAATAAAAAAGGCATTAAAAAGTGCTTTCCTTTAAACCTTTGAAAGCTTTGTTAATATTCAAATGAGGACTTTTTCATGTGCAGGCAACATTTGTTTAAGCTTCTCTCTCTGATACCACAGCAATAATTTTTTATTGCTGCTTCTTGAGCCTTGCCAGCAGACCAGGGCAGACAACATCATTCAATAACAACTGAAATTATTCAGAGTAGTGTTTATCTCCTGGCTGTTTGAAATAGCTATAGTTATTTATTTATTTATTATTTTTATCCTAAATGTTGTTGGTAGGAAATACATGGCAGGACTTCATTCTTCTTAGAAGTAACCAGCAGGAAATTCCTTGGATCACATAAATTAAAACATAGATAAGCAAGAACAGATGTTTGCTGAGTTTTTCTATCCCATCCTCCCTCTTATGGGATGGCCTTTTTGCCAGTGTTTATATATAACAAGCAGCAGTTTTGAGCTACAGGCAAGGCAGGGATTTGCATTTAACCTTCTGAAAGTGGTCCAATTCAGATGTTCTTTCCAAACCATCTGATTCTATGATTCTGTGATTATTTTTTTATGTGCTTTTCTGTACAGCAGAAATAATCTAATAATAATATAATAAACAGTAATATAATAAATAATCTAATCTGTCCTTAAAAACTGAATCAGGTGCAAATATCGACGAATTAGGCTGATCTGAGCTGAGGTGGACGCGTGATGCACATCTACACGGAGGAACAACCACAGACTGGAAAGTTTTCACAACATGAATGGCACTGCCTTGTGGCTTTTAGTTCTCACACATTACAGTTGTAAGATGTTTCTTGTGCTCTCCATCCTGGAAGTTTTTATTCTTTCAAGGAGACCAGCTCTCCTGGTTACGATGTAATTTGGGATGCCTGTATGGGTGTCAGATGCCTGTGGATGGTGATCCCAGTCTGGGAGCTGTAGCACAGGTGGCATTACCCCTGCACTTTGTATGAACAGCAAATGTGTTTTCCTTCTTTCTCTGCGCTTTGTTATTTTAGTTCCACCTTTGCCTATACGCGTTTGTAAAGAACAGTTCTGGTCCCTTGCATCACTATTTAGACTGCAGTAGTTTGACTCATTGTATTCGCCCCAAGTAGCCTGATTTCCCTCTAGAAATCTTGATACAGTTTATGTACAGCACATGTTCTCAGAGGGACTAACTGTGAGGTTATCTCATCTAAATCGAGTTGCTGATGAGGACTCTCTTTATAGTCCACAATAAGAAATAAGTACTTTGAGGGTAAAATTTCCCTGATCTGTTTGATATCACTGCTTCAGAAAGAGTTGACTCATACCCTGGAAATGCCAATTCCTCTCCAGTGAATATAAAGGCAACCTACATCATTAACTGGGGTCTGTACTTTAGCTCAGATTAACCCAGAGTATGAGCCCTGATTGTGCATCAGGGCTCTGGTGGGCTTGAGGCTGAGTAAACTGCAGACATTCCAAAGTTTCCAGGTATTCCACTGTTAATTGGTTCATGGTCTAAGACAGGAGACATACAGATACAGCCAGAAGGGAACACTGTCCATAATAGTCAGCACTGAGAGGTAATGACCACAGCACCGAAACAACTTACATTCTGTCAGGATTTTGAGGAAGAATTTGGATAACAGTGATTTAATGTTGCACCAAGGGTATGGGAGAACACTTCCCAGATGAATGGACTGAGCCCAGCAAAAACTAATGTAGGTTTTGGGCTGTAGTCTTGTCATTTGGTGCTGGAAGCTAAGGTCACAGGACAGTGAGAAGTGGGAACTAAACTTCCAGTCTGTAATAATAAGTTTGGCATGAGCTACAGAAGATATTGATAGAGAAGAGAGATCATGCACAACTCAAAGAGGAAGGGTGATATGGTTAAAGCAAGAGAGAAAGATGTTGTATCCATCAAGGTGCAAGCTGATGGGAAATTGGATAAGAGTATTTTTTTGTGTGGATAGATGGAAATGTTCTGATGGTGAGATGTTATGCTGTAAAAAGATCTGTATGACAGCAGAGAGAGGAATGAGTGAATGATAACACTCAAACCACTCATCTGAATGTCTAGGAGACAAACTTGAACTAGTGACATCCAGCACACTGGACAATGATCATTTTCAAGAGAAACATGAATTTACAGTGTCAACTTGAAATTAATAAAAGCAGAACCCAGCACCACCAAAACTGTAATATTTTCTGAGGAAGGAAATAATACTGGGACAACAATGACTCTTCTCCAGCAATGTTCCTCTAATTAGTTTTTCTTCTAAATTTTTCTTCTTATAGTTTCGCTCGTCCAGGGAAAGGTTCTTGGCTTGGCAAAGGCAACCTGGAGGTGGGACCAGACCAATCCAGTATGTCACTAGAAAATCTAGTGTTTGGAGCTGGCTACTGCAAACCCACTTCTTCAGAGGTAAGGAGGATGAACAATGATGTCTTATTTCCATTGGATCACTCCAGGTGTCCCTATTATCTGTGGAGAACTTGTCATGGTTGCGTATTTCTAGTAGAGGGATTTTGTTGGAAGAAGAAAACCTCAAACGTTTCTGCATGGACCAGCTGGCACTTGGATAACACAGTCCCTTGGTGTTCAGCCCCCATTTCAGAAAGTTCAAGATGTGTGGATATATCCCCATTGTCAATGGCACTTTTAAGGCAGGATTCACCTGACCAGGTGTCTGCTGTAAGGTGAAATAATTATTTAGGAAAAGGTCCTGGCTTTCAGGTCTTGGGTATGACAGTCAGAGGACTTGACTCATTATTAAGGATGTTGTGAAGGAAGGTTTTGTGTCCTGAGTATTGGGTATTGTGTGTGTTGGTGATGGGGCGTTGCACACATTGCCTTACCCATGGCAGGTCCCACAGTTAGTGTGTGCCTTTGATCTTTTTGCTTACCACAGGTCAAGGGGAGAGCTCATTGTGCAGTTTTTAGTAGAAAGTTGTTTGTTTGAAAAATAATGATTAATCGGAGGGTTTTGTTAGTTAGTTCTTTTATTTTGTTTTGTTTTAAGTGCTTGGTTTGGAGTGTTTTGTTGTGGGTTTGTTTTTACTTGTTTGGTTGTTTTTTTTTTTTGGTCAGAAATGTTTCCTCAGATCTAGAAACTCAACCCAGAATACTGCAATCATTAACCTCTTAGGAAACCACGATTCAAGGTTCCTGATTAACATGCTGCCCTCAGCTTCCCTCAAGCTTTCCTGTCAAAGCTGTTTTTTATAAATATTTAAAGCATGCAAGCCTAGAGCAGCTGGTACAGAAGAACTACCAGGGCTGAGAGAATATTTGGCCTGAGGCTGCTATCCAAAACATTGGGTCAGTGTATGCTTTTGGCAAACAAACTGACCTCAACCTCTGCCTCTCTGGTAGGCAGTCACATCATAGACAGTTAAATAGCTGATTCAAATATAAGTTTTGTAGGTTAATCTATGTACATCTCTGTACATCACACAAGAGAGAGGCTTCTTTCAAGAGTGGTGTCCACTTTCCATTATCCTCTGGACAAATCTATTGTAAGAAGAGATATGCAAAGGCTTACTCTGCACTCCCATTTTTGCTTTTACTCTCCATGGAAAAATCTTGTTATGTTGTGCTTAGGAAAAACCTTATTGCCTTCCCAAATTTGTTCCCTAGCTGGATACTATTTTTTTTTTTTTGGTTGGGTGAGTGGCTGGGGTTTTGGGGCTTTTTTTTTGGATGGGGGTTGTTTTTTTGCGTTTTTTTTAATTGGGTGTGGTTTTGTTTGTTTGCTTGGAGGTTTTGTGCTGTTTCTTTTTTTCTTACAATGTAATTGTGGTGAGTTGACCTTGATTGGAAGCCAGGTGCCTAGCAAGCCACTCTATCACTTCCCTCCTTAACTGGGCAGGGTGGGATCAAGGAAATTTGTGGGTAAAAACAGTCAGTTTACTGAAGCAAACCCAAGAGCCATGTGCAGAAGCAAAGGAAACCAAAAGATTTTTTCTCTCCTTCTGTCATAATAGTGAATGCTCCCCCTTCTCCTCCTTTTTCTTAGCTTTCATTGCTCAGCAGACATCACATGGTTTGGAACATCCCTTTGATCAGTTTGGGTCAGCTGTCCCAGCTGTCTCCTCCCAAGATCTGCACACCCCCACCCTACTGATGAGGAGTGGAATGTTGGAGAGACAACGCTGATGCTGTGCCAGCTCTGCCCAGCAGTAGCCAAAACACTGGTGTGACATCAACACCTTTGTAGCTACCCATGCATAGCTCAGGCTGTGAGGGCTGCCATGGGGAAAGCTAACTCCATCCCAGTCAGACCTAATGGAGTAATTATTATCTTGGCAGGTGACCTATGAAATACCAAAATGAAAGGGTTTTCTCACGAACTGGCATTTGCACACTGCTGCCCTGCAGTCATGAGAATGCCTCATACCAAACCATCATAAATAAAGTGCTGCAAAGCCCATGTGGTCAGATGTGCATTTGCTTAGCTTCAGAAACCTCCATAAGTCATGGCATCTGTTCTTGAGCTGAGCATTTTAATTTAATAGACTGTGATGGCCATTTTGCCTATGCTATCCATGATGTATGATAATGAGCAAAGGATATTTCTCTTAATTTAGCACCAAAAATAAAAATTCAGAGCTAAAAAAGAAACTGCTGTGAGAGTAAACCTAATTCCAAATGAGGGCCATGTGACTACTGGTTTATATGGGACATTATATCAAACCGTAAGGGATTGAAGGAAGAGGAAGAGTATTAGCTCTTACAGTGTTACAATGATTTTCACTGGGTGAAATTTTCTTCCCTTTACAAACTTGTAGACTGCATTCCAGGTTGTGTGAATGTGTTTGTTAAATGTAACTTCAACTGGACTATAGACATTTCCAAATTTGGGAAATTTTGCAGTCACTGCCACTGGGTATGAGAATGGATTCTACTCTTTTCATTAGATGAAAAAATAAAAAAGAAAGGCCTGCAGAGCTCTCTGCTCAATTTTTATATATCTTTGTTTGGACCTTGCCTACTGCGTGTTCAAATTATTAACTGTTGAATACCTTAACTCAAAATATACCACAGTTATATTTTTGTTTCTAAGCTTCTCTGATTCAATGCAACTGGCTAAATCTAGGCTAAAACAATTAAGATATCTCCTCTTCCAAGGCTGACAAAGCTTCACTGGGAGACAGGACATGGGAACATTAAAGGGACGTTGGTTAGTTCCTTTTTATGTCATAAACTTCTGTGAAACAGTTAATGTTGATATGTCCTGTTTTTTCTTTTGTTTTGTTCCTTTTTCATCTCTGCAGATCTGAGTTTGGATCCTTCTATTTTTTCATGTCCATTTCTGTGTTTTTCTTGATCTGAGAAGTCTCCAGGCTTAAGTTCTTAAAATGCATCTCATGGGCAAGTGTCTTCTGTTTAGTATCTTTTCTAGGGAACAGAATCTAATTATTCAGTTTACTGCAAGACTGCAAATAGCCAGGACTTTCTTGTTCAAGCTTTAGCTATTGTGAGTAAACCTAAAGGAGCTTTTTTCCCTTACAGCTGCAGATAGATAATTTTTCCAGAGTACTTTCCAGAGTATTGCATTCAAACAGAAGCTTGTAATGAGTACCAACTCTAAATCATTCCAGCTGCACCCTTTTCCTGAGGTCTAGATGTAAAACCCCACAAAGTACTAATTTCTTGTGTCTGAGGCACTTACTAACTCCACAGTTTATTCAGTTTCATTAGTTTGACATAAATTGTACAAATTTGTGAAGCAGACTGGCTCACAAAAATCAATTTTGTCCTCACTAGTGTCATCATATGCAGTAAACAGGCTAGTGGCATGGTCTATTTGGTTTATGGGTCAAGGCTTTGGTACCAGAGAGAGATGGGACCAGGGGAGGCTTCTGGGAGAAGGAACAAGAACCTTCCCCCACATTAGATAGAAACAACTCCAGCTGGTTCCAAGGTGGACCCACTGCTGGCCAAAGCTGAGCCCATCAGCAACAACTGTAGAACCACATTGATAATATATTTAAGAAAGGGTAAAAAACACTGTACAGCAGCTGTGAGACAGAAGAGCAAGAAAATGGGAAAGAAAAAACTATCCAAGCATCAATGTCAGTGAAGTAGGAAGAGAGGAGTTGTTCCAGGTGTCAGAGCAGATTTCTCTTCAGCCTGTGGTAAAGACACAGGTTGTCCCACTGCAGCCTTGGAGAGCCCCATGCCAGGGCAGGGGTCTGTGCCCTGGAGGAAGGTGGTTTTATATTTATTTCTCATTTACTCTGTTTAATTGGTAATAAATTCTATTAATTTCCCCAAGCAGAGTCTGTTTTGGCCATGGCAGTAATCGGTCAGTGATCTGGCCCTGTCCTTACTTTGACTCTTGAACTTTTTGTTGTATTTTTTTCTCTGTCCTGTTGAAGAAGGAGAGTGATAGTGTGACTTGGTCAAGTACAACATATGGTTCAGAGAAGATTTGAACACAGTAGGGTAGTGACTGGATTTACATTAGTGATAATCCCTCAGGAAAGCCAGAAATGTGCTGAAATCTGAAGTTATGACTACCGAGTTATGGTTTCTAGACACCTCTTGAAGACAAAGCAGAAGGCATTCACCTTGACATATCACCTCTAGGTCAAATTTTCCATTTTCCCCTCTTTCTTCCTTATAAAACATGGGTGCATCAGAGAGTTAATTCTCTTTTTAGGCCCACAGACTGACTGTGGAAGTGCTCATCCCATTTACATCATTGATTTGCATTTTCCTTATTGAAAAGGCAAGTGACTGCCTCAATTTCTAAAGAAAGTCCATATCAATCAGCTCGTTTTGCCACTTCCTGAGCTAATTTTCAGCATTTGGGCTGCTGAGGTGCCACTGTTTAATAATAGATCCTGAAGGCTCCTCGTTCTGCACTTCTGACTTCTCAGTGCAGAGACTAATTAAATGTCAGCAGCTCTGGACTGTATATGCACATTTTCCCAAGTTCTCCCCAAGTGACTTCTGAACATCTCTGACAGTTTCCTCATCTCCTGGCTTAGCAGAGTAGTTATAATGATTAGTCCAATTTAAGCCTTGGTAATTTATTGTTATTTTTAAGTCTTCCTGTCTCTTCCCAGTCCTCTACCCAGCAAAGGGCGATCTTTCCTTCCTCCATTCCTCCTTTCCTCCCTCCCTAATGTTTTCTGTCTATCTATACTACTCTCTTCATTTCAAGCACAATTAAGACAAAAAAGATGTTTATTATTGAAATAATATTTTTGTTGTCAGATAAATACAAAGTAAGACACTTTAGTGGTCAAAAACCTAGTAGAGAATAATCTACAGAATAATAAAATGTGCTAGGACTTTTCTCAAGTTGTCATCAGCCCATAACCTATTCTCAGAGGGAATATATATCACAGTAGATGTGTTCAAAATAGGATCATATCCACTGCAGTCTTGGGAGATCTAGTGGGATGAAGCAT